TTTCGCGGGAGAGCTCTTCAGAGGCCCGGGGAACCCCAGCCCCCCCCCCCCCGCCTTCCACTGAGTTCAGAATGAACCGGAATTCCACCACTTTGGAACTCCAGTCTGGGTTTGGAATCGGTGGAGAATCGAGGCGCAGCCTTAACATCCAGCACCTCTTCAAAACCGCCGGGGCTTGTGCCTGTCGCGTCCTGTGACACAGAGCAACGCGGAAGAGCGCGCCTATCCCCGCTGCCTGAAGCTGCTACAGTGCAGTATAATTAATCTCAGGATCTGGGCCTTTTGTTCTGCTTGCACGTGTACGCCAGATCTTGTCCGTCTGTTGCTGTTCATTTATTAATTCTGTGATTTCGCTGCATGCCATTCTAGGAGGACTGGGTGGGCGGGGGGTGATGTAAATTTATATGGTGCCTCACTCCAAAGACTTCGCCCCTTGCATGCGCGTCTTTGGCCTCTGGTGGGGTGAGGGCTGCGCTCCCGCAAATCAGTCAGCCCAGGAAATTTTCCCTGGAGCCCGACCCAGTCAGAAACTGAAGGGCGCCCGCTGCCAAATCATAAATTAATTCCTGAATCTCGTACCTAATTAGAACTGCTTCCTAGAAATGCAAGAGCGCGGGATGATTTCTGAGGTTTGATCCATTATGGGAAACCACTTGCAAAGACCGTGATAGGCTTTTGGTAGCAGGTGGCAACGCAGATCTCTCTGTAACTGAATCCTTTCCTACTTAAAGTCTGGGGCTTTGACAAGGGAATCCGGATAATCAGATTATCAGATTGATATACCACTGGCCTTTCTTCTTTCCATTTCAGGGATATTGGAAGAGAACAGCTACAGCTTTGCTAACTCCTGGGCCCTGAGTAACCAGCAAAAGAAATGCCAGCGAGTGACGCCCCCGAGCTACACTTGCAACATTTCGGCAGCGGCTGCAGAGAAGGTTTGTGCAGCCTTGTGAGATTTGGAATGACAACAGGGTGGTGGGAGATCCCCCAGCCGGTTAATAGGAGATTGCAAGATTCAGTGTGTAGCAAATAATAATAACAGTGGTCCTGAAGCCACACCAAAGAGGTTCCCCAACTACAGTATTTGAAAGCTTTAACTTTACCAGGTTTGGCACCACTGACTTCGCAAACCACCACCTTGCTTGGAACTTCCTACATACCGTGAGGCTGTTTCCACGATTGGTCAGAACCAAATCATCAGAAAACACCCAGTCTCCAAACGGTGACAATCATTGGGTGAGAAGACAAGAATTCTAGTGTGCCTTAGTACACTGTGCACACCGAGGCATGGTGCAAATCAGACAGATGCTGTAACTACAGAATTTCATCCAATAAAATTAGGTCACATCTTAGCAACCCGACCAGTAAAACCAGTACTTACAACCATTAAACACAACAGCCATACTGTATTTACTTAAAGCAATGTGCCATGATATTGCATCCCTCCATGATTGAATTAGAACAGGAACTAACCTAGGGACTCTCAAGGTTAAGGAGAGTAAGGTGGGATAACCGAGCCTTACATGATCCCACCAATGAACTAAAAAGGCCTTTAACCTCCCCTAAAAGCCATCTAAATTTCACAAAATTTAAACTGGGCTGTGGCTCAGAATGGGAGCCAGTGAACCGCCCTTTGTTAATGAGACATGAGAATAGTGTGGAAAGTCCAGAACATGCCAAATGAGAGTGTATTTATTTACTTCGGAAATAAATCTCCAGACAAAGGAAGGAAGGGCATAATCTTGTACTTTCTGCAAGAAAACCTTTGCTTATTGTTAGCCTGAACTTCCTTGGGGCTTTCAGGCTCATGAATAAGTCAGAAAATGAGGCCGTTTTGGCTATCCTGTGGGATTCCCATACTTATTTGGAAAAAAATTAATATTTTCAAACCATGATAATCTAAAGTTGTTTTGTTACTTTAGGAACGTAACTTGTCTTAAAATCTTATAATTTAGTATATTTAGTTTCAGAGTTTGTCTGATTCATGAATTTAGAATTGTGACCGTGTGAGTGCATAAGAATTAGTAAGAATAACTGCTTATAGGTTTCATAGTTCGTTCAAACGGTACACCAAGTTTAACATTCTGAACTTAGAAATCTTTTTTATAACGTAGTAAGTAGCGCGCTCTTTCAGTTCCTTGTGCTCAGGACGAGCCCCATTCAGCTTCCAACTCTTCGGATGCGCTCTGTCTTGGACAAGCAGAGCCTCTCCTTGCTTTCAACCTAATTTCTTCAAGAAGAAATGCTTTGCTCCCCACCCCACTCCTCCCCTAGTTCTCCGGGGCCCAGTCGGGCGTTCAGGAGGGCAGTCAGCCGCTGCGGGATGCGAGCGCAGAAGGAGCCAAGCGCTCTCTAGCATGCGCCTGCGAGGGAGATGCGCACCTCGGGGCCATGAAGGACCGGGCGGGAGAGCAGTGGGGCTCTCCTGCGGCCCCAGCGAGGGCACGGTGTCCTCCAGCAGGCGGGGGGAGGAGGGGGCTTAGGGGGTGACGCGACCCCGTCCTCTGCCCTGACTCAGGTCAACTCAATAAAGCCTTACAAATCCAGGTGACAGACGCAACGGACAAAGCATTTTTTAAAGAGAATGAGAGGATTCCTGTTAAGTTCAGTTGGAAAATACACCTGTAATACTTGTAAAAGAATAAGGGCAAATACTCTCCCCACAAGTTAACGGTGATTTTGCAATGAAAAAAGGAATTTCCCCCCCCCCTTTGCAGGGTGGCATCATAATACGTATATTAGAATGGCTTTCATTGCTGCTGAATTTTTCTCTAGCAGCTGGGTCTGTACATTCCTTTATGCTCCAGAGTTTCTGCTGATGCTTCCTTTACATCACCCAGTTTTTGCTCAAAGGTGGATATTTAGTCTCTGCTTGAATTCATCCCATGAAGGAGAGCCCAGCACCCACCCGACTGGTTCCATTTTAAACTGCCCTTATTCCACAGATCCCCCCCCCCAAATTTCCACCAGAATCCTCCTTCCTTCCTTCCTTCCTTCCTTGTTCATTTTATTCCACTCTGGAATGAGAGAGAGCGACTCTTGAGAAGGCGGGTTGGGGGCTAAGAAGCAAAAGGAAAACTGTAGGGACTGCAGTGCCTGCAGCCTGCTTTGTCTTTCGGTCAGAAAGGAACCTGACACGTAGTTATAACGAATGCAGCCTGACGCCTATTTGTATAGCAAATACAAGCTCATAGCAGTCCTTGAAGGGGAACCCCCCCCGAAAGGATTGGAGAAGTGATGATGAGAGGGGACAAGATTTATCCGATGAAAAGTAGACTTTACAACAGAAATTGGCAGAAGCAGCAGTCCAAGGAAGCAGACAAAGAGAGAAGCAAGCTCAGCGGATGAGAGCAACAGTCAGAAGCGAGAGAGTTGAAGACTTTCTGCCCCTTTGGGTCTCATCAACAGCTTTCCGGCCATCGTAGTTGAAAGAGGCTCCATGTGTTCGGGGGAAGAAAATCGATACTGCAGGAGGGGAATAAAAAATAGTGGATCCCCTTAATTATCGTGCCACCCACTCCACAATTGGCTAGTTTGCTAATCAGCACGTCATGAGGTGCTTTGCCAAATGTTTAATGGAGCAAAGATATATTACATTTACAACCCACATTTATAGTCTATTTAGGAGTTCCCCAATTAAAAAAAAAAATTAGATAAGATTAGTCAGTTAAGATTTGTTCTTAACCAATTCACGATGATGTCTGATAAGTGCTGCATTGATTCAATTACTTTTTGACTTGCTCTACAATCTTCTGAGGTCAGATTGACTAGTCTGTAGTTTCGGGGGTGTTTCCCCACATGTAAATACAACTGTAAATGCCCTCCAGGGGCCAATAACCATGAGAGATTTCCAAGAAAGAGGAGTTGAAAGCTCATGAGATCATCACAAGCTTTATTAAAGGTAAATACTCACAGGAGTAAACACCCAGTGCTTCCTGAGACGGACACTGGGTATGCATGCAATGTTCCGCCATGGCATGCCCTTGCCAAGAGGCGGGTTGGTAAAACTTTTATACCCAGCACACTGAGCATTCATTAATCATGGGTGCAGAACAGACTGTCCATTAAAGATGTGTGAGAACCGAGTTAGCAGCCTGCGAAATGCCTTCCCTGTGAACAGGCTGTGCTGTGCATCTACTGTTTTTTACACTTAAAGCTCACGCAGAAGAAATCTTGGAAGACGGGGTGGGGGGGGAGATGCTGCCAGGGAACAATCAGACAAAAGGGGGAGGGGCCCCCATCTGAGTAATGGGCAGAGAAAGAAACATAGAAAGGACCCGTCCTAACTTTGAGGCGATAAAAAGAGACGGTGGGAGAACCGTACTTTCAGTCTTGCAAGATTGGGTTGGCGTAGCCTATCAATTGAGGAGAAGGAGCTCATCTGGTTGTGTTTCCTGTCTGTTCTGCTTGGGAGGCTGACAATGGATCACTGTAGTTTGCTTGTCCTGTTTGCGCTCAAGCGAGGGTTGTGTCAGGAAATCTGTCTGGTTTCCACTCTGCTGAGTACTGTAGGTGAGAGGCCCACCCCATTTAGCCAAACAGCAGGAGATCCTCAGCCTAAAACTTGCCTTTCTTCAAAGGCAGCCCAATCTATGGATCCCTAAAGGCATCACAGCAGGAAAACGCCGAAGAAGAGAAGCTTCTGACTTATGCAGATGAAGAAGACTTTACGGCATTGTCCAAAATATATTTGCTGTCAAAGCAGAACATTGTTCTATTAATAGCGCTCTAGCAATGCTGGTGGCTGTTGAAGAATTTCGTTTTCCATGAAGAAAACAGTTTTCTTTGTTTGCTCGTTTCGGCCTTGGCGATGCAAAGCTGTCTCTACCTCTGCTTGTGTCAGTGTGCCCCAGTCAGCTGGTGGGATCGGGGCACAATAGCCGTGGTTCAGGCGGAGGAATTTCTCTTGTGCTTTCATCCTCTGGGGCCCCGGTCCAGAAGGCGTCTTTGAGAAGAGCCTCAGTGGACGCCTTGTCTCTCCTTGTAAGCCAGAAATGTTCTGAGAGGAGACCTGAACGAGCCAAAGAGTAATTGCCAAGCAGGCAGATGACCAATTCAGCTAGGCTAATGTGTTCGTTAATTTTGGACTATGCTAAATGTTAGTTAAGGTCCATTGTAATTTAATGAAATGAGTATTCTGTGGCAGTCATGGGTTTGGACTGGAGGGACAGAGTTAAGTGGAGTCCTTCTTGCTCCGTAAGCCAGTCTCCTAAGTGCCCCCTACTATTAGGATTCCCGAAATGATGGTGGGAATTCAGCCACAAAACGTTTTGTGGGGTGGGCAGTGTCTTCACCAAAGACACAACTCGGATCTATGGCTGCAGGCCTGGATTACTTCGGAATATGGTCTTGCCTCAGTTGTTGAAATGCCTTTCTGAGCTCTGTCGTTGGCTAAGGAAATCGTTGCTCCTTAGATTAGCCTTCCGGTGGCTCACTAGATTTCCACCATTTCACACAACAACCTTTGCGCCCTGGTTTTCTTGACATGAACATACAGCCTTGAGCTATGCATTTCTTTAAAAACAAACAAAAGCAAACCCCGTCTTTTGGCTTCATCCTTGGAGAGCGTTCAACACTCACGGCCAAAAGTCACCACCCCATACTGCATATTGCTTTCAAAGCCAACAGCGTCGATCTCCCAAGCCGTAGTAACTCCCTATTGCTGCTGTACTTCAGCAGAGCCTGCGGTTTAGAAGATTAAACTTCAGAAACAGACACGACATAAAAACAAGCATTCTTTTGAATACACAAATACGCAAATGAATACACGAATGAAACCAGAGGGGTTCCCGTTCAAGCTTGCAGCTAGAAACTCTTCAAAGTCTTTTCACAACATCCTCTCTAATTTAGTCCTCAGAACCTCAACTTCTCACCTGGAAAATCTGGGGCTGTTTGGAGATGGTCAGAACTGAAGTCTTTCCAAAATGTAGCACATTGTAATTTTTGGATCAGAGATGCATTGTATACCAGTGTTTCATTCTTTGTTATTTTATTCCACAGGATATATGTTTCTTTGTTTCTGTCTAAGGTTCTTATTTCAGGATGGATAGAGAGCTGTGTGAGTTTGCTTCCTCGCTGCCGCTGGAGACAAAGCATAACTTTCTAGGATGGTATAGTTAGTTAGTTAGTTAGTTAGTTAGTTAGTTAGTTAATTTTTCCTTCCTGCATTTGAGTGGCAAAGAGCAAAAATAAGGCTTAAAAGCAGCGGAAAACAACAGAAAGGCAGAAAACAGTGTCCGCCATAACAGCACAAGACCACAAGGGCGGATCAGAAATGCTCTTTCCCAGAGCCAGGATGTCATTTCTCTCCGTATATTTGTGAGATAATGGTGGTCTCTATATGTGGAGGCAAGTTACGCCTCAGCAGTAACAGTTTTTGCCAATTTTTGTTGTTTTGTTTTGTTTTGTTTTTTGAAATACTTCAAGAGGATCACCTGGTCTTGCCTCCACCGTAGGTAGAAGTCTTCAGGAAAGACAGCGTGCAGATCAGAAGCCTAACAATCCTCGGCCTCGGAAGCAGTAGACCCTCTCCCCTCGCCCCCCGTTTCATGAGATGCTGGTCTTCTCTATCTGCAGGACTCCATAGGAAATTGCCAGCTGCTAAAAACTTCATCGGTGTTTTCTAAATGTCATCACCTGGTGGACCCCGAAAAGTTCATTGGCCTCTGTGAAGAAGACATGTGCCGGTGTGCCCAGGACAGAAACTGCCACTGCCCAGTTTTTCTGGAGTATGCTAGGAGTTGCGCTCAGCAAGGCGTGATCCTGGAAGGTTGGCCCGCCAGCAGCGCCTGCAGTAAGTTTTCAGGATTAGTGCTCCTAGGGGACGGGGGTCTAAGTGCTGGGTTCAAAGTTGCAAGTTCTCCGTATGCTCCTATGGGGAAGGGGCGCAAGCCACTCATGCAATGTTGCAGAACTCTAATTCTACAGCTTTCCAAGTCCTGCTCGGTCAGAGAACAGCCACGCGCTCTTTACAGTCCTCAGTCTTCAAACTGTGTCTTGTCCTCCGACGGGCTTGGGACCAGGTGCCTTCTGTGGGGGCTCAGGGCACAAGTTCCGCAGCACAGGCAACTTCTGGCCAGGGAAGATTATTTTCCTTGCATGCCAGGTCCACACGCCTGCCCTTGCCCACCTGGACTTGAAAGTAAACAATCCATGTAAAAAATTACATGTATTCTGTATCACAATGTACCCAACAAAGAGCAAGAAAGAAAGATAGCCAGAGAGGTGTGTTTAAAAGCTGAGAACCATAGTACAAAAGCTGGAGAAGGGTAGATCTTGGAGCATTTGTCCATGAGTGGCTTAAAGTGTCTTCTGGAGTCCTCTAATCCTCGCTAGGCAAAGAGAACAGGCTTTCTATCCCTTCAGCGATGGGTGGCTGGGTGACGCTGAGAAGATGCTTCAAGGGAAAGGATCGTGGAGCTGTGAGCCACACCTGTGTCCAGGAGACCGTTCAGGCTGGGGGCGGCTTTTAGATTAGCTACGTTATGCTGTGGATAATTCCAACTGCCTCTATGTTAAGAATAGAACCAAAGTTATTCTGTAGCATGATCCAAAGCATGTTTATTCAGAAGTCAGTCCTACTGACTTTCGAGAGAACTTAATGAAGATTGCAACACAGTCATTTAGCATCACGACGCAGGGCAGAGAAGGCATCCAGAAGTGGAAATGCAGCAGTTACTTGCAATTAGAAGTGTGTATCAGTTTTGCTCGAGTGGGGAAACAATGTCTATCATACAGTGTTTCCCATGTGTACATGTTACTGAGCGCACTCATACGTGTGAAGAGCATTGGGGTTGGCGGGTTGGGCAGGGGGGAAGAGAAGGGCACTTTTGGCTGAAAAGCCACCTAAAGCTATATTTTCCCATTTTGGGGGGATACTAATAATCTCAGTGAGACAACTGCAAAGCTGCTCCCCTGAATCTTGGAAGCTGGCGAGGGGGGACCAACGTCTTGGAGAGGTGAGGTTAGTACAGCAAAACGGGGGCTGCTGCCTTGCCAACCGGCTGCTGGCTCGGTGTGGGTTAGGCCGGCTCCATCGCTGCATTTAGTCTTGAAGCTTTTCCCTGTTCTGAAGGCCTCTGTGCTGCTCAGAGTCCAACATGATCGGAGGGGCATCCAAGCCTAGCCCGATAGAAAGATAGAAAGATAGAAAGATAGAAAGATAGAAAGAAAGAAAGAAAGAAAGAAAGAAAGAAAGAAAGAAAGAAAGAAAGAGAAAGATAGAAAGATAGAAAGATAGAAAGATAGAAAGATAGAAAGAAAGAAAGAGAAAGAAAGAAAGAAAGAAAAAGAAAGAAAGAA